GGCCTCCCTTCGGAGCTTGTGCTTCTGCGATGTTGAGCTCGCAGCCTGAGCCTGCCACGCGTGGGAAGCCTGTCGTAGGCACTCGTTCCCAAGCCCAGCCTCCTCCACCAAATCTATGGTGGATTCCAGGAGCTCAGCACAAAGAAAAGCACAACCTCAATGCCCAGATCAGCAAACCCCCGAATCCAGGGCACGTCTTGCAATCGATGGGCAAAATACAGGATCGTGGGCAAACATCACGCATCGCAAGCGCAAGAATTCATGAATACAAGCACGGAGCTGTCGGCAAACTCCAGCTGCTTTGCGACATCAGCCTGTGACAGCCCGAGCTTGCCCTCCAAGCTTTGCTGAGCATGGGCTGGCCAAAAGCCAAAATAAGACAGCCCAGCTGCACGACACCGGCTTCGCTGACGCAAAGCAAAAGTCCAGCCAGCCTTGCTCACCTCTGGAGGGAGCGGCCTCGCGTAGCTTTGGCTGCTTGTTGCAATCAACTTCGATTGGCATAAGCAAACGTGGCCATCCAAGTCCTTCTCTGAGCCCCACACCGGAGAAGGGTGTTTCCGAGGAATGCCAGCTGGTTGCGCTGCGCAAACGCCTGCCCAACTCGGCAGCCGTCATTATAGGCAGGTCACCTCGACTCTTGCGAACATGGCCAACTCTTGGAACGAAATGAACAATCATGCAGTAGAACTCAGAATGGGCAAAGCCCGTTTCATGAACAACGCTTCCAACTAAAGACTGTCCCTTTTCCTGGCCCCCCCTTTGGTCAATACTACTTTAAAGCCACCCAAAAGGTTTGAACTGACTCCCTAATCTGAAAGGAGCTTAGCTGCCCGAAAAATGATAAACTGAAACAGCACAACTCTAAATCGACAAAGCTATTGCCAATCTTCTTACTCCAGCAGCGGCACCCTTCTTTCTAATCTCTTCCCCCTATTAATAAATACGCCCCCCCCCCCTATTATAAATAAATCCCCCCAAAAATATATATATATTTTTAATTGGGGTTTTTGGGGTTGGTTTTTTTTGCTTTTCCAACAATGTGAGGGTTCACGTAGGATTTGGATGAAATGGATTGAATTGTAAGGTCCGCGAATAAGCGGTTCAATAAGGAAATTTGATGTATCATTCTATTTCATTGGGGGGAACAGAAATGATGACAGCCAGGCGAGAGGCCAGGCAGGATTGGCTATAAGGGGGGAACAGAGCCAGGCAGGAAGCCAGGCAGAAAGCTACGGAGCCGCGCGAAAAAAAAGAAGTCAGGCAGCCAGGGACAACCAGGGACAACCTTTTGGGGAGAGAGTCAAGAACAACCTTTTGGGGAACCCACCAAAAGAACCCAACCTTTTGGGGAAGCCAGCTTTTGGGGAAGCAACCTTTTGGGGAATTGAGGAACCCACCTTTTTAAAAGTGGAGCTGGAAGCTTGCTAAAAGTGCCCCCTAATAAGGATTCCAAGACTTTAGTATTGGTTTAGTATTGGGGCAATTGAAAATCAATTGTACGGAGTGGAAATCTGGTCTCGGGCCCCGGATTTGCATTTATTATTAATGGGGGTCATTCATTAATAGGGGGAGGAGATTACAGTGCAAGTAGGCGCTGGCTTCACGGCAGGAACATCATTATGCGCCTTGCGAGCTCCCTTGACTGTCTCGATCCTGCAAGCAGCAAAGCAAGGCAAACCACGGCGGGAATACTCTAGGCGAACTGAGGAAACACACTGGCACGTCTCACACCCAATGTTTGTCAATAATCAGTGCTTGCTGTATTCGGCCCTGGGTGCTGTGCCACGGCAGTCTCAGCAGCACCATGGGCAATCTAGCCTTGGCCAGCTCAAGCGATGCACGAATGCACCAAGTCGTGGTGAACGAGAGCAATTGGAATGCTGCGAGGTAGGTCCATGCTAATTATTGCATGCATTGCACTATTGCATAGGCTCTTGGGCTACCTAAGTAAAATCCCATGGGCTTCGATCGCTGAGTGCCCTGCCGCAAAGGCCTTCAAGGCAGCTTGGCACCACTGGTCGCACTCCTCCGCTCTCCCACAAAATGCGAAGATCCCGAAACTCAGCTCTTTTTGCGGGGGGCGCGAGATACCGAAAAGTATCAGGAAGCAAGGTGACCACTGCGGCAATGACTTTGGCCACAATCACCCCAAGGCGAATGCAATACACACAGCGGCTGTTCAGCACCGACGCCTTTGCTATATTTCGTTGCCTCTTGCTGGCAAAGGGAAATCGCCCAGTTGGTTAATTCAGATCCCTTCGAGAAAGGGATCTTGCCCCGCCTCAAAACCGATCACAAGCCGGTCAATTTCCCCCAGAAACCGGTCAAATTCCCGTATACCTCAAAGCCAGCCAAGAGCGGACTGGCCGAGGCGGGCAACGCGAAGCGTTTACAATTCATGTAGACCTTGCTTACCGTGCCCCCCCCACCCAAGAACAGTCAAAGCTGTGCTCGGGGGTCATGAAAAAAGATGTGGAAGGGAGCTTGGATGACTGAAGTATAGCTTTAGTATTGCCAATACTTCGTTTAGTATTGCCAGCACTTCCTGTTGATTGCCAGAACTTTGTTTAGTATTGCCTGGTTTACATTTAGTATTGCCAGGACTTACTTTTAGATTCCCAGTACTTGGTTTAGTGTTGCCTGGTACAAATTAGTATTGCCAGGACTTTCTCTCAGATTCCCAGTGCTGAGTTTAGTACTGCCAGATTGACCCACCCCAAATAGCTTGACACGAATCACTGGCTCCCGTGCACCCCCCCTTTGCGTGACTGATTGGGCTTGGCTTTATATAAACATAACTTGACGTTTGGGGGACCACTTGCAAAATGGATTCCTAGCTCTAAGGCCTTTCCCCTCAAAAAGTTGGACACAAAAGCGAATTCGAAAGCTCGAAAAAGGCGCAAAAAACTGTTTGCTATGATTGTCAGCTTCCCTCCACTTGGTGGTTTGGAGCCCAGTGGCTGTTCCGCAGTGCTTCCTCTACCCTCTGCCAGAAGCAGCCCAATGAAGGGCTTCCAGAAATGACGAATCAAAGGTCCTTGATGTAAAAAAACAGAAAAGAAAGAAAAACAGTGCAAACATTTCCCAATGGTCATGCGGCTTGTTTTAACGAACATCACCTAGCAACAATGTTCTAATTCAGCTCCACCCCTTCAGGGAACCAACTTGGTTGGGCACGCACTTGGAAAAGTCTCTTCAATTCAAGGGACACTTCGGGGCCTCAAATCTTCCGGTTCGCCCGGTTTTGCGCCTGGATGGTTTTTGTGGCAAAAGCAACTTGAAACAAAAAAACATAGACCCCGGATACGTAAATCTCGCACAAACCTGCCTGTGCCGTCACCAGCATCCAACACCCCGAACAGCACCCCAAGCACCCCCCCCGAGCACCCGGCTGTTAATCCTGCAGCAATGCGCCCGCAGCGTCACCACCCCAAAGCAGCCCCTGCATCAGGAACCCAAACTGCATGCCTGCCGCCAATTTTGCACAAATACGCCGTCACCAGCACCCAACAGCATCCCAAACAGTCCCCAAAACAGCACCTGCCAAACTACATGGTCCCCTAGCACCCAGCCGTCAACCTCGCACAAATGCGCCACAAGCAAGCAACCCAAAACAGCACCTGCACCAGCCCCCAAACTGCATGCCCCCTAGCACCCGGCCGTCCATCTTGCAAAAACGCGCCCGCACCGTCAACGGCACCTCAAACAGCAACACAAGCAGCAAATAGCTTTCAGCTATCTGGGGAAAAATACCCAAATAGTGGAGAGATCGCAGTTAAGCCGAGTAAACTTGACGTAATTCAGGGTACCGAAATGAAACCAAAAGCAACATTACACCTCTCACCCTTTTTCTGACTCGTTTTGCTCCTTCTTGCCAGCCCACTCTTGCAAGAGCTGTGTCAGTAGCTCTTCTGCCAGCGTCCAGCCTTGGTCCGACTGCAAGCCCAGAGCCTCCATCGTGAAAGCCCGACCTGCCTTCGCTTGGGCTCTGCTCTGCTCCCTCCTGCGTGAAGCGTCAGGCGAACACCATCGGACAGTGTGCTGAAGTCACACTGTGAACAACCAGCTGCCAATGGCTGCGAACCAGCCTCCTGGCTGGCTGCACGGTGTGCCGCGCAAAGAAAGTAGAAGAACGAGCTTCCTACCTCCGTGTGCTGCTTGCAATTGCTTGCACCTGCCTCCAGCTTTGACCTCTGAGCGGGTGCCAATTCTGAGGCTGCGTCCTCCAAGACTTGGGGTCCGCTCCTCGCATGCGCACCCCTCAACAGCACTAGCTTGCGCTCAAGATGCGGTTCACATGGCTCATTGGCTTTGTAGATTCCGTCAATTCCAGGGACCCTTTGGTCAAAGCTCAGCGCCGGACGCGCAAACTTTGGGCGTCAGGCCGTGAACAGACAAGGCTCGTGCCTGAGAGGCGCAGTTGCCCCAATCACAGCTGTCAAGCACAATTCAAGTTTTGAGATTCCCTTTCGGGCATTTGCAAGGGCTTTGCTCCTGTGCGCAGCTGCCAAGGCGGTCTGCGTCCCAAGCGCGGGACCTTGGAGGCCCATTCCTCATCCGGCTGCCAGCCTGGCTGGTGCCGAGCATGCGGAGTGGCCTACCAGCAAGTACCGGGAATGCCTTTGGTAGCGATTGGGACCTGAAATTCAGCTTGCCCTCGGGCGAGCTGCAAGGAATACATATCGAGCACCCATCTTACCCACCACGGGTGTGCTTTGCTTGCTCCAGGGCCGACTCAAGCCAAGTCTGGAAAGCACGCAGCCTTCCAATCGCATCCTTTCCTTCCATCAGTGCATATATAATTATATATAAGCGTTTGGGGACAAGTCCGAATCACCATTCTAGACTTTACGCAAGTTATTTTCTCTCCTCTGCTGGTCTGTTCTTCTGCAGGGCGCCTGCTCTGAAAAATATTTGATAGAAAGAAATCGGCATTTGAATGTTTTTGGGGCATCAGCTATAGTCTCTTCATCGATAATTATACCGGGAACTCATACACGGGCTTCAGCTACAGCTGGTGCCCGCCTGCAAGTATCTGAATAGCACCAGGCCGACCTGGACCATGCAAAACAAGGTTCTATGCATTGTGGCTGAAGAAGAACAGACTCTCAAGTCACAGTGCAGTCTGCCCCGCTCTTTGACCCCGAGACCGCGAGAGTTGTAAAATCCAACAACTGGGGCGCCTCCAGGCTGTGTCAGCTTCCTGCCGGCCCCAATCGGATTAAGGGTATGTGCATACCCCACATCCAAAGTGAGTGCGTGATAAACCGGAACTCTGTCTCGCGAAATCCGTGTAAAGAAAGATCAATACCGCGGTGGTTCCAGGGAAGTAACCCCGGAGACCACAACCTAGCCAGTGCCACGAACACCAGCGGGGAATCACCAAGCAGGGCCACAGTTCGTGGGTGGTTTGGGGACTCTCTGACCCCGGACAAGCACCAGGTCTGGTCGACGCAGGGTGACCGCCCACCTGATGGAGGTCCAGATTCCCCTCCGTACGGACAACGAAGGGCAACACCTACGCATCTTCCAAACGCTCCGCCAAGAAGTGGCCCTGCTCCGCCCCTCTGATGGAGCTCTCAGCGCAGGAACAGAAGAGGGCAGTCTTCGCATCCCTCCATCATGTCAAAAGATGCTCAACGTCTGGGCAGACCAACTCACCCGCTTGGACTTTGATGGTTTTGACATGCAGCGCAGAACCTCGGCGGTGGACGGCTTCACACCATCTTGGATCCTGCTACCGGCTCCTGGCTCTGCACATGCAGGACGTCCAGATGCAGGAGAAGACCGGCAATGGAAGCGGTTAGCCCTCCCTTGGCCGGTTGGCATGACCACCATGGCCGGGGAGTTGATGCTTCTCCTCCTGGGCCGGCTTGTCCACCTGTAGCCCAACCAAAGGTTCTGAGAGGGGACATCCGACCAGGGAGAGAAACAGGAGGAAGATAGCGCGCAGGAGGAGCATGAAGTCATCCACGAAAACCATGACCCACAAAGACTCCTCCGACATGTGGTACGCAAGTTGCGTCAATAGGGCTGCGACTCTGCTCCAGTAAAATTGGGCAGAGGCGACCCCGTAGGTGCCCACCATACTGACCCAGAACAGGTTCTTGATTGTTGCAATCATGTACTTCCAGTCCTGGCTCCGGATTTTTATACGCCGGTGTGCCTTGCTGACATCCGACTTGAATAGGGTGAGATCTTCCTCGAAAAGCTGACCCCGCGCCCGCAGCAGATCATGCAGGGTCGTCTTCCTGCTGATGTTGGAGCGGATGTTACCGCTGTTGCCCACGTCCTCCTGCAGGCATGTTGTCCTTCTTGGGCCTGTGCCGGAGGATCGACCCTGCAATTGGCCCCCCCTCCCCGCAATTGCCATAAGGTTGCCGCCGAAGGCCATCTCCACCACAAGGCCCAAAGACTCCCTATTGAGGATGTCATGGTTGAGTTTGTCGGATGTAGCCATCCAGGTGTGGAGCGATTTGTCGACTAATTGCCCTTGTGCTACTTTCATCGTCTTCACCTGCGTAGAGGATGAGCACGACCAGGAGGCCTTTGCCTTGCCGCCACGGAAACCTGGCAGGGTGGGGGGTGCGTGTGCGATGTCCAGCTGGCGGGTGGGTCCCTTCCAGGCGTCGCGCTCACAGCAGCCTCCAGTTTCTGGTCCGGCTCAAGCCGCGACATGCGAAGGGGTTGAAGAGTCAATCATGGCACCGCCCGGTGGTTCTTTTCGCAGGGCAGCTCTTCCCGCAATTCCCTGGACACTTGTTGAAAGAAATGAGCGCCAGCCAAGGACCATTCCGGCAGCGGTGGCCTGTTTGAGCTTTTGTCCTTGCCATGACCTGAGGATGCCTGGGACTCACCCCCTTTTCCTTTGGCGCCCCCCCCCCCAACCAGCTGGAGTTCCCCCAGCCCTTGTAGGAAGCGCCCCTGCTTCTCCGTCTTCCCGCCGCCGCAGAACTCATCCACCTCCCTCGTCCAAAAGCGGGCGTTTTCCCTGATCTGGGGGAGCGCCTTTGAAATGGCGATTCTCTCGTCCATGGCATTCAAAGCGCCACGCAGCGCCAGACTTTCCGTTCTGCTGTCATCATGACGCTCAAGCTGGGGAGAGGCTCTCTGCCCATAACATCCTCTCCAAGCATGAAGTCATAAAACTCATCCAATTCTTCCTTAAGGAGCACAATTGTGGGTGGAGAAGAAATCGAGGCCACCACCATGCATGAGCATGCACTTCTGCACTTCCACTGCTTCTCCGAAGAGGCCCCATACAACTCCTCTATGATCCACTCCAGCTCGCCCGGCTTAGTTGGGGTGCGCCACCACCTTGTTCAAGGCCCGGTCGGGAATTCTCCTTGTAGGAGGATCATCTTTGAGCCCCAGCATGTGGCCCGATCCTTCGAACTCCAGCTCCGGTTTGGTCTTGTAAACGGAGGTGCGCGAAGAGGCTGGCGACTTGGAGATGCCAAGCGGCGTGGGGGTCTACTCGCAGTTGGGGCACATCCTGATGCTGACCCGCAGGGACGTCTTGGAGGGCAAGGAGGCTCTTCGGGTGGAAGTCGCACGCTTGTGATCGGGTTTGCAGAAGCACTTTCGCTGCGGAGACGATGATGGCGGCCATGGAAGGACGTGAGAGCGCGATGGCCTTCCGGGCGAGCTTGGTGGGGGCCTTGCTGGGTGGAGGTCAGCTAGGTCTGTAAAGCTACCTTTGCAACGTAGACTTGGGCCGTGTGACTTGAAATTTCTCGCCCACCTTCTCCGGATTCACGCCCTTCAGGATGTCCACGGTCTCCAACCTCGACTTGACGCAGCTGCTCTGTCCCACGTGGATGTCGTTGTCATTCTGCTCCATGTCCGAACCGATGTACTTGAGGTATCGCTCTCCCGCTCTGAGATAGGAAAGATCCCCGAGAGGTTCTTCTGCAGTTCTTTGATCTCTTCCTTGGGGGCCGCGAGCAAGATGTCGTCGACATGCGTCACCAAGGCGCCCCGCATCTTGCTGCTCCCGTCTCGGAGAATAAACATGCAACTGTCGAGCACGCCCCGTCCCAGTCTGAGGGATCAGGATCCTTTCTTTTTTTTGCTGTGGGTATACCACTTGGGCAAAACCGTCAGAGTGTTGACGTGGTCCTCCTCTAGTCCGTACCAACGAACCACCGCCGGCCACCAGGCACGCGACTGAGCGAAGAGATCCATGATGCTCATCCATCCAGCTCCAGCTTGTCTTCCAGCTCCTTGAAGACTTTGGCGGGGACCGCGTGGGGTTCCTGCTTGGGGTCCAGGCCACGCTAGATTCTCCCGGCGGGGATAGCGCTAGAAGCAGGAGGTCTCCCCGTTCCACAGTTGGCATCGGCATCCATGGTTGCCACCGTGTCCCCCTTTTTTTCTCCTCTACCGGCCGCTTGAGATCGGAGGCCAGAGGGGGTCGAGGGTTGGAAAAACAACCAAGGGAGACCGAGCACAAGCTACCACAAGGACCGAGCCCAGGTGGTGAACAACGGAGTCAGCAGCACTTGGCCCTATGACATCCTAGTTTTCCCAAATCAAGTGTCATTTGCCGGGCTGCCGCACAAATTGTGCGCATCAGTCTGACCAGCATCTTGTGCACGCGCTGACACAGGTTGTCCTGTGACAAGCATGGGTATGGCCAAAGCACCAACTGCACCCTGCATCGTGGCATTGCACCCAGAAACAAAACACCCTCAACGGCTGGCCCGCGATCCATCGACCCCTCCCTCCTCCAAGGCCTTCAGCGTGGAGTCTGCCTCCGCACTGCTCCGGGAGCGAATGAGAGGGAGAGAGAGGGAGAAGGAGAGAACTTAAAAAAGACCCATGACCAGCTTCACTTGCACCTCTTGTAACTGAGGAGCAAAACTGCAGATGAGTGAGTAGTGTCTGCCCGCTGGCCGCATAAGCATCTTGCAACCCTGGCCACCTAAACACTTGCTTCTTCTCCTTTCTCTCTCGCTCATTCTGTCTCTTCCTCTTTCTCTTCATCTTTCTCTTTCTCCTTCTCTGTCTTTTTCTCTTTGTCTTTCTCTGTCTCTGTTTCTTTCTCTCTCTCGCCCCGCGCCCCACCCCCCCGGCGCCCGCCTTTGTCTGGCGCTTCTTCTTTCCCTTGCCTGCGAGTGGAGCACGGTCGCATCTTCCACACGTCTTGCACTTCCAGAACGAAAACCACGCTCACACGCTGCCCGCCTCCCCACGAAGCTCAATCGGCAATTTTGTGGAACGTTGACAACATCTTGCTTTCGGGACAGCCGGAAATCTGGGCTTGAGGGCTCTCCGTGTAGCGCTTGTTGAACTGTTGCTCCGAGCGCCCCGAGTCTGGGCCTTGCTCCTCAGCCTTTTCCTCAGCACGGTCGAAAACGCAGCGGACCCCAGCAAACGCCCCAACAGAAGCCACGTTGTCAGGTGAACTTCGGGCATCGGGCCCCCACGTCCTTGTCCTCCTTGCGAAATCTTGCCTCGGACCAAGCACAGAGCAAAACAGAGCAAAACAGAGCAAAACAGAGCAACACAGAGCAACACAGAGCAAAACAGAGCAAAACAGAGCAAAACAGCCTGTGCTTCGACTGGCGAAGAAAGGCAGCAGGAATAGCAGAACAAGTGCTCTTCCGCAGCATTGCGGCGGGTCTGCGCCTTGTGCTTGAGAACGACAAGCGCCTCAAATCATGGCACAAGCCGGACGAGGCCAAGGGCAACACACCTTGCGCTTGGAGCTGACCCTGCGGAGGACGCATGAGCTTCGGGCGGGGTAAAGCTCCTCCACCAAATTCAGGCTAATCTCTCGCCTCGCGTCAGGAAAGGCCATGGCTCGGGCCCCTTCGCCCTGCTTGAAACTGTGGCACTTGCCAAAAACAGAACTTTGCAGGTTTCCCCTCAAGGGCTGATTGGACCTTGATTGGGCCGGGTTAGGAGTTTTGTCCCAGGGGTGGCGCCGAAGAGAAAAGCTAAGCCCAGTGATACGCAAGTAATCACGCCGAGCTGACATTCGCGCGCAAGG